TCAACCGTTAGACAGCATTCTAAACCTGTTCTCCAACAAAAGTCTATGACGAAGATTGAGACAATTAGACTCCTACTGATCAGAGATTAGGGCCAGTTATTTCTCCCTTTGTTATCAGTTACCAAAGCCAATTTAAATACGATTATCAAGACACGAATAAAATATTCTAAAACTGAAAGAGAACAAGTCTCGTAAGCACTAGTAGACAATGAATGACCTACTGATGTCCTGTGCATAATAAATGTATTAAATACGTCGATGACGGTGGTTTCAACATTTTGAGGTTGTTCCTTAATGAAACTGTGCGTCATAAAATCAACTGCAAATCAACATGTCCACGATATCAATGTACTTACGTTACGTTAAACACCAAAAATTGGGTACTACAAACAATGTAAGCACTGTTGGCAAAGGTTCATAATAATGCGCATAAAACAGGGTAAACTCTCTTCACGACGCAGTGTTTTGGACAGATAGTAACGACTCATGAGCAAGCCGAAAAAAGTTTTGACGATGCAGTATGGAAGATATCAGGAAATCGAGAGAACAATGTTTCGCGCAGCGTGGAAGATCAAGGCCAGAAAATCTGGCGTTACACAATTACCGAAATCTGTACCCATGTCGTTATCCCCTTGAACAGAGAACAACAGCTATCAGTACTTCTAATCAAGGTACTTAGGACTTCTTATTGATAGTAGTATTCCACGGTCGTCCATACAGTGCGGGATTAGAATTCACTTCTTTGAAATGAAACAAGGCATGTTATAAAATGGACAGTGTTTATGTCATTCTACTTTCAAGGAACATATGGTTAGAGGCTAGTCTCGTCATTAGTTTCGAGTGTGATGGTCTTGAAAGATAGCTATATGAGAATAGCCTGCTTCCTTACAGAAACGATGAAAACTGAGTAACCGTGGAATTCGAAAAAGAGGTCATTACGGTGCGAGTTCAATGCCATATCGACTGAGATTTCATGATCACCCATGTGAGCAGTATGAATGATGAGGCTTTCCTGCATCTCCAGAATGAATCAATTTATCAGGTATCTATCTCGATGTAGTAAAAGTGATTACACCTGATCTGAAGCTTGTTTGTAGTGCTAAGCTCACGATAAGACATATAACAGCATGTCTACCTTTGGTTACTGTGACATTGGAAATTAACAATATCCAGGTACTGTTTGCAATGTTGATTTCAAAACAAAATGGTTCGGCTTCTTTTGACGCCTACAATTATGACATCTTATTTATGAAATTAATTTCATCAGAAATTTTAGGCAAATGTCGCTATTGCTTATAAATCAATTTTAATCCAAAGTCAACCGCATTATGACATAAAAATATGCATTTGACCTAAAAGGCATGATAATGTAAATAATAGTGAATTAGCAGTAGTGAACGTGAATTTTCCTTACCATGGCGTCGGTGGATACAGTAGCAATTGAATCAGCGGATCTTTTACCAAATGTGAAAGCAGCCGTACCATCGGAAGGAGACGGCGCAGGAACAGAATCGCCAGCAGTTTTTGTGGTCTGTACCGTAGTCACGGGATTAGCTGACGCTGCAAAAACCGTCGATGAAGTAGTCGTCTGCATAGAAGTCGGTGCAGATGCCAAAGGTTTAACGGAAGGAGCAGTATTCTGAAAGCCAAAGTTAAACTGGAAAGGAGCGGGTGCCGCTGAGCCGTTCGCAACGCTGCTGCTGCTAATTGGAGTGTTGAGGGAAGCTACGGTGATGGGAGCCGTCAACAAAGATTTTGTTGAAGCAACAACGGTAGTTGCAGGCTGGCCAAATTGAAACACCGGGACAAGAGCAGCGGCTGAAGGCGGCGCCATTGTAGATGTTGCCGGAATCGGTGGCGTTGCGGTATTTTGTCCAGAGAAACCAAAGGAAAACAAAGCCGATGCCGATTCTGTTCCTGTTTTGCAGTCTGACTGTGATGTCAACTGCGCCACATTTTCATGAAGCTTTAGCGGATCTTCAGCAGGAGTAACTGATTGATGAATTTTCCGTTTGGCCGATGGTGCATCTGTTTCAAGCGATACTAGAAATATGCTATGTTAAATTTGTCTAAAATGACCTGAAACATTTTCACCGCCCATTGCATAATGTGATGGCATTATGTCAGCAATGATACATTACATATGTAGAAATTTCAACTGCACACATACCAGCAGAGAAGTCTAAAACGTTCTGAAATATTACATCTCATTCGAATAGCATGAGCATCCACAAAACTTGGAGTATATGCAAATTAGTTTTGGTGCCAACAGATAGCAGAGATTCCAGAAGTATCCATGGGTATCCATATTCTACCGCTTGTTGTGACATAACTCGCGAATAGTTCCACCGCCAATACTATGTGATGCTTCATTTACATTCTTTAATCATACTGCCTATCGCGATCGCTAAAAAGCATACCATATTCATACAGACTCCGACAGTAGTAAAACCGACTGATTGATTGCCTATCAAAGTAGTTAAATACCAAAATAAAAATTAATATATTGTGAAGTGATTCATTCTGATAACTGGCACCTTCCGCAGCCTCACAACCCCAGAAAATATAAAAATGGGGTTCGCTTCATTAAGAAGTAGCACGTTTACTGCAATTAATATTAGAGATTCTTACATAGTCTATTACAATCGTTTGCGCTGAGACAAATTAAAATGTTGCTTCTTAAATCATAATTATAACCAGTGCATGCAGATGACTGAGTTGAAAATAACAAATACCAAAGAAAGATCCTTCAAGCAGAAATTTGAAGAAAGTAACAGCTATTTGATAGAGAATAACACTCAACACTACGTCGCGGAAAGTTTGCATACAGAATCAAAAGCGAGCAAGATTTGCTACCTTTTTGCGTTCCCACAGGAGCCTGGGGCGGAGTCTTCGAGAAAACTGCCTTTGTTGACGAAAAATCCCATGGCTTTGTAGCGTTGCAGCAAGCGCATTTCGAAAGCGTGGCTTCGTTAGAAACAAAACAAGTTTTGCAGCACCATTTGACACATGATGTTTTTTCTATAAAAAACCATGAAACCAAAAACGACAGAATGTAGACAAAAATCAAATGCAGAGATATCTCACCTCTAAACCATGAACTCTTAGAAAAATAACAGAATAACAATAAGGTATTTTAAACAGTCGAAATATTCATCGTCTTCTTAATCTTCACTCACAAACAAATGAATCCATAAACACATGTTAACGGATTTGCACGCAGATGTTCAAGGCTGTTTCATTTCAATAAATCATCAGGCTGAATCTTTACCGCCTGCCTGCGGCATATGAATTTCATTTAAACATTCTCGAAGTAAAAACGTATCTTGCTTTGGAATAAGTCTAAGATTATATCAGGTCACGGATGCTGCAGTGTCAGAAAAGATCTCCACTCGATCCTGTGCCAGAGACTGATATTCGGTCGAAGCACACATTTAGTATATTAAGAACAGAAAGCCAACGCGGCATCATTAATCATGCGGGTCAACCAGACCCGCATGAAAACACTGCGTGCCTTACTCAATGTACTTTGTACTCATTATCGAAGCTGGTGCGAAATGTCAGATGGGCTTAATTAACGAATATTTTATGCGCTGTCTTTCCGCATCATATTTAATATATTCATATATTTAATTTTAACTGAATCAGTTTTATGCGCACTCAGGTAGAGTAACAGCACAAGAAATACAGAAGCCTTTAGTTCATCAAGAGTCTATACATGAATTATTTTGAATGTAATAGCTTCGAAGACAACATCGCATCGAAAGTAATGTCTGACATGCCTTAGTGCATTGCTCAGAAGTACATCACAGTGGCAAATATTGACATCTTTTTTTAACAAGTTGGCTTCTGTTGACATGGTTTTTTAGCCTAATACCTTAGCTACTGATATTGATTTTTTGTTGAAAGTGTTCAATGGGCATCTTAGAAAAGGAGTTTCACCAGCAATTGTAATATTAACACCAGTTTTGTCCTATTCATGTTAATCTTTATTTTCATGAAAAAAATTTTTCTGTTGCAAAAATCACCATCCCATATCATTACCATTATCAAATTTGCTAGTAGATAACTTTTATTCACAGTATATCAGCAGTCATCCCAGCAAGATACAGCCTGTTTCTTTTTCTTGCCGTCATAATTTATCTTAATGTCATTGTTGAACCAGAGTTTACGTAAGCTTGGACTCCAACTTCAATATTTAAGTATTTAAAACCCTCTTCTTACAATATCATTGGCGACCCTAGACTATTTACTGAAGAACCAATCAGCAGTCAGCAAATGAAAAGTATAAATAGAAGTCCTAAAAGTGCGAAAGCAAGTTTCAACTCCAGCACTGTTGTTTCTACGTAAAAGTCATACGAAAAGCTGCAAAGCATCGCCCGCAAGTGTGGAATACGGCTAATATTGAGATTCAAAACGACATGACACAGCAAGCTGATGCATGCAAATACCACTAGGGCAAAATTTCAAAAACAAGGCTGGATTTACACCATACCTGTGAGTTTGGTCTGATACATAGGAAAAACAGGCAACACCATAGAAAAGAGGAAGAAAAAACACCTCAGTAACCTGACTAAATGATGTGACGCCCATCTATGACAGAATAACAAAAGGCGAAGGTAAACGAAAGATCCACAGGTGGCAAAGCAGGAATGCGAAAAAAGAACTCGGCGGAGGTGCAACATGCAATACAAGAACAACACTGCATATAATGGGACTATATAACGGGAGCGAAACTTTCTAAACAGGAAGATAAAAGAAGCATTGGCAACCATCAAACCAATGCACACAAAGACGTCGGTACGGAACTAAGTTCCCATTGGAACGAAGGTATGAAACAACTTCCACTGTTGAGGATAAAACCTCCATAGTAAAGTTTGTACCTTAAATACTCAGACAATTACTGGAACGTCGTATCTGCAATATGTCGCTCCCTGAAGACGTATCGAGCATGTTTCGAAACGTTAAAGAACCTGTACGTAATAAATTTGTATGCCAAGTAATCCTGTAAAGTACCGGTCGAGCGCTGAACTAAATTCCAGCATAAATCCGTGTTTAAAACCATCCATTTTGTTAACATTATAAGATACTTAAGATTTAACGCACTCAGGTATTGCACTACTGACTCGTTTCTTGAAACAAATATCAGGCATATCTGAATTAACTCTAAAGAGATTGACCTAATAATTCATTCCCTTTCGATTATGTTACGCATTTAACTGTACTATTCAGGGCTCACACTTAGATCCGTATTGTTCACGAAATCTATTGCCAGTCTCGAGGTGTAATTCAAAAACTTTGCATGTTAATAATTATAATAAATGAGTAAATGGAGTATTAGTCATATTTAAAAGGCTTTCACAAATGTCAAAGAAACGATTAATGAATATAAGAAGGCTCTCACGAATCCCCGTCTCAAACACTGAATTTGGCTAATGCTCCAGAAAATGACCACTGAATGGATGAAGCGACCGCCAACACCGGAGATCAGCATGACAAAAATGCTCTGTGAAAAGGTGCGCAGCAGAAGTGCAAAAGTTTATTTGGACATTTTACTGTCATGTGGGCTAAAACACTGCTATTTAGAATAAAGGCACTTATTGAAAATGCTGTTCGCTCTGCCAGTTACGCCGAGTGCAAATGTTGTTTGGCTGAAATACCGTTACAAAATACAAGCCGAAACCACTGCCTTATTATTACGTGGTCAGCATCGAATTTCAACGCCACTCATTTTGTAAACATATTCGTTTAAAAATGAAAAGATCAACTTAGCGTATATTTTAAGCAGACTAGTGGAAAAAGACTTTAAAATATTCGCCTAATCCAATGTGGAATATTCCCAGCGGAAAAACTACCAGAAAGAAACAGTTTAGAAACAAAAGTTATCGCACCTTCAAAATTCTCTACAGATGTCGAGGGCGATTTCTGCTTGGTAGCTTCTTTACCGGCATCCTTTACAGCAGAAGGGAGGAGATCAGTTTTCGGCATGACAGCCTGCGTATTTAAATTGCCACAGCACGGGCATTTTGAAAGTGTCGCGTCACTGGATACAAAACATTCTTTGCAAATAAAACTCTTGCTTTGTGCTTCTTCTAAAACATGAAGGTAACAGAATCATACAATGAATTCCACTGAACTCAGTAATGAATCATACGATGTTTCAAATGAAATGCAAAGCACATTTCAAAGCCAACAATTACATTATCAAAGGATCTGAGCAAACAGGCGACATGAGGAAAGATACTATCAATTGTTAATTGGCGTAATTCCAACGTATCAGATCACC